TTTACTTGCTGAAAGTGAGGATAACTTGGAGCACTTACTGATGAAGATTGAAGACTACATTCTGCAGTATGGATTACACCTTAACATAAAGAAAACAAAAATCCTCGTAATTGGACCAATAAGCAGCATGATGATAGATGGAGAAAAGATTGAAGTTGTCAAAGACGTCATATTACTTAGTTCTACGATCAACACCAATAGAAGCAGCAGTCAAGACATCAGACAACATACTGCATTGGGCAAACCTGCTGCAAAAGATTTCTTTGAAGTGCTGAAGAGCAAAGATGTCTCCTTGAAGACTAAGGTGCACCTAACCCATGCCATGATATTTTCAATCACCTCATATGCATGTGAGAGCTAGACAATGAAAAAGACTGAAGAAGAGTTTATTCTTTTGAGTTGTGGTGTTGGTGAGGACTACTGAAGGTACCATAGACTACCAAAAGAACTAACAAATCTGTCTTGGAGGAAGTGCAGCTAGAATGCTCCTTGGAAGTGAGAATGGCCAAACTTCGTCTCACCTACAACATGACAATGTTGTCTTGTTGTCAGGAGGGACCATTCCCCTGGAGAAGGATATCATGCTTGGGAAGGTGGAGGGTCAACAGAAAAAGGAAAGGCCCTCAGCAAAATGGATCGACACAGTGGCTGCAATGATGAGCTCAAGCATGGCACAGATCACGGGGCTGGCGCAGAACCAGGCAGTGTTTTGTTCTGTTGTACATAGGGTTGCTATGAGTCAGAGAGGACTTGACAGCACCTAACACCAACAACGGTGCTAGCAAAATTGGACATTTTGCAGAAAAATGAAATAAGATTGTCTTGGTTTCTCTAGTGCTGCTATAACAGAAAAACCACAAGTGGATGGCTTTAACACACAGGAATTTATTCTCTTACAGTTTAGGAGGCTAGAAGAGTGAGTTTAAAGTGCAGCTCTAGGAGCTGGGGAAAGGCCCCTCGACCTTGGACTTCAGCTCTGCCTGCTGTTCCAGGTCCACTAAAGCTGGAGGCTTTTTCTGACTCTGCTGAGGCTGAGAAATCCAATGATGACAAGTAAAATGGCACAGTCCCAAGATTAGCAGACAACATGACAGGCCACTAATTCAAGTCCAGGAAGAGTCCCAAGATTGGCAGGAAATGTGCCAGACCAGTGAGATAAGACTCCGCCAAATGCAGGTTCCAGATGTGCCAAAAGCTAGAGACCTTTCTCAAAGCTTCTCCTTATATACTGGAAGCAGGCCACACCCCAAAGGCAGCTACTCAGCTACTCACAGCTGATTCCACCATGGAGTTGATTACTAATCTCATCAAGGCAAATAACTACATCCAGCTGCCCGGCCATTCAAAATGAGGCCCAGCCAAGTAGATACACAAGGATTCATACCTCACACCATGCACAAAAACTAACTAAAAATGGATCAAAGACCTAGATGTTATAGCTGAAACTATACAAGTTCCTGGAATATAACATAGGGGAAGAACAAGAGGACCTAAGAATGGTCTACCAAACAAAACTGAAAATGCATGAATGACAGATGATAAACAACTTGGATCTCCTAAAAATTAAATACTTATGCTCATCCAAAGATTTTTATCAAGAGAGTAAAAACAGAACCTACAGACTGGGAAAAAATATTTGGTAATGATATAATGGATAAGGGTCTAATCTCTAAAATATATAGGAAATTTCAACAACTCAAAAGCAAAAAGACAATCCAATCAAAAAATTGGCAAAGGCCATGAGCAGACACTTCACCGAAGAGGACATTTAGGCAGCCATCAAATACATGAAAGGATGCTTGCAATCATTAGCCATTAGAGATGCAAATTAAAACAATGGTAAGATCCCATCTCACATTTGCAAAAATGGCAATGATCAGAAAAACAGAAAACAATATATGCTGCCAAGATTTTGGGAGAGATTGGAACTCTTATTGGAACTCCCACTGCTGGTGGGCGTGTAAAATGGTACAACCACTATGGAAAACAGTATGGTACTTCCTCAAAAAGAAACAGAAATACCTTATGATTCAGCAATCCCACTCCTAGGAAGGAAGGCTGGGCAATCTACTTCCCTAGTGATACTGCCTCAGAAACCCAAGGAGGGGTCGTTATGAGTTGAAATCAACTCAATGGCAGTGGGTATATATATGTTGTTGTTGTTGTTATGTGCCGTCGAGTCAGCCCTGACTCATAGCAACCCCTCCTTGGGTTTCCGAGGCAGTATCACTACGGAAGTAGGATTGCCCAACCTTCCTTCCGAGGAGTGGCTGATGGGTTTGAACCGCCAGCCCTCTGGTGAGCAGTCAAGTGCCTTAGCCACTATGCTACCAGAGCTCCCGGGTATAAATATATATATATATATATGCCCACATACCCACATATATAACAACATAGGGGGCAGTTATGGAGGCTTCCAAGCCATATCCACACAACTCACAAGATTGGTTTACTGGGTCAAAGGCATGGGACCATGGTCTTGGAGGACAACTTAGTCAATTGGCATGACAGTTCACAAAGATAATGTTTTACATCCTAATGGGGTGAATAGTATCTGAAGTCTTAAAAGCTTGCAAGCAGCCATCTAAGATACAACTATTGGTCTCTACTCGTTGGGAGCAAAAAAAAAAAAAAGAGGAGGAAATCCAAAGCTAAAAGAAGAAACTAACTAGTCCATGGGACTAATAGCACCCATGAACCACAACACCTTCTAACCTGAGCCCAGAATTAGATGGTGCCTGGCTACTACTACTGACTGTTCTGACCAGGGCCACAAACAGTAGGTCTTGGATAGAATGGGAGGAAAATGTAGAACAAAACTCAAATTCTTAAAAAAAAAGGCCAGACCTACTGTACTAACAAGAGATTAGAGGAACCTCTAAGAGTACAGCCTTAAAATATCCTTTATATTAGAGTTGAAGCTATTTCTGCAAGTCACCTTTCAGTCAAATATACTGGGTTATAAAATAGTATCACCTGTGAATTTTATGCTCCCTTAAACATTTACCCATATGAGACTAAATGGTCAACAGTTACCCAAAAGCAACGAGAAGCCAAGGAAGGGAAGCTAGATCAATGTAAACAGAATCAACAGAATGGAAATAATGAGAATGTTGACACAATGCAAAAATTGTAACCAATGACCAGAACAGTATGTGTAAATTGCTTAAAACCAAGACAAACTGTCTATTTGATTCTGACACAGTCACTGTAAAGGGCATAGAACTGCCCCAAAGGGTTTCCAAGGCTGTAAGCCTTTACAGAAGCAGACCATCTCATCGTTCTGTGCAGCAACTGGTACTTCCAAACCTCCAACCATTTAAAAAAAAAAACCAAACCCACTGCCATCCAGTTGATTGTCCCATCTTCCTGTCATGGAGTGTCTGGTGGGTTTGAACCACCAACCTTCTGGTTAGCAGTCAATACTTTATGCACTGTGCCATCAGAGCTCCTTATACTATGTACTTTCACCTAAAGCAGTATTTTTAAAAGTTGAAAAGAAAAAAAAAAATACTGCAAGAAGTCACTCAATAGAAAGCTTAAGCTCTCCACTGCTGCTTTTAAAAAACAATGATTGAGGGTTGTGTGGCAAATCCTGTATCAAGAGCTCACTTTAATAGTTCTCTCAGTCACTTCTGCACTAACGTGGTAAGCAGAAGTGAGTCAATACATTTACAAAACAGGTCATTTACAATTTCCTTGTTACAAAAAAAAAAAAAGTTAAATTCAGGCAGGTAAGATAGTAAAATCCTCAACTAGAAACCAATTTAGAACCTTCTCTCAGACTTTTAACTACACTCTGCTTTTAGGAATAAAACAGGTAACTTTTGGGTTGGCAGTGTGATTAAGATATTCACTTGAAAAGTTTGGCAAAAAAGGTTCTCAGAATCAGCACACCTACATAAAAAAAAAAAAAACAAACAAAAAAACGGGAGGCAGAGAAAAGATTTACAGCACAGATGAGTTGGTGCTGGTGGCTCCCCCCTCATTTCATCTAATTATCCCAACAACACTCCAAGACTTTATCCAGTTCATTTTGGAAAAAATGTATGAGAGCCCAGGTAAAATGCTCAAGTTCACCCAGATGGTGAGTAGTGGAAATGGAATCAGATCTGCCCATTTCCCAGCCCAGGCTCTTTCCACAATGCAACGCTGTCTCCTAGAAGAGCTGAATCGCAAAGCTGTTTTATTTCAAAACTCATGCTCTGTGTTTACTACAGATTTACCATATTTCTAGTATTTTAGTGAGAAATCTCCATCATAACTGATGTTCAAAGGATTTAGAATGAACTTACCTGCTAAGGAAGGAAAACTACTAGATGCTTCATAAATATTTAAGAAGTACTAACACTTCTCTCCAAAAAGAAATACATGTTTCAACTTATTAATGACTACCCTAAAACCAATAGCATTAAGGCATATTAAACAGGAAACAGACAACCAAAGTACCATATAAAAACACTATGCATTTATGGTTGGAGATGCCACTGAAGTAAAACAATCTAGCGGGAAACACAAAATCAATTTTGGGCAGCTGTGAAGACTTCACTGATTGTATGTAAACTCCTAGTACAGTGATGATTTTCCTTCCAAAATATTAGGCAAATGTGAGAAACAGATAAAAGTATAGCAGCTCTAGTTGAAAAGGGAAAGGGTTACAGGTTGGTCAGAAGGGGCCCAATAGATTATTTTAGAAACAGGAGTAATTTCTTGCCAACTCCAAACATTTTCAGGGTCTTCATGCCTTTCTTCTAAGTATCATTTAGTAACCCTTTCAGAGATTGTTAAATTGGATGAACCCTTAGGGTGGCAATTCTTATGTTTTTCTCTTTTATGGGCTCAGAAACAAACAAAAAATACTGTTAAGAGAGCAAACTGTATGTTGAGGTCCTAGAAAAACTGAGATGGTCTCCCTCAAATCCTCAGGGTCACTACTAGGAAGCATGCTACGGAAAGAGCTTAAGAGAGAAATTGTATTTTAAATTTTTTTTGCAAGCACAAAGGTTCAGAAACAAAATATATTCACGTCCTCTAACAACTATATAGATTTGAAAAGGTGAAGCTATACCTGTCAATTTAAAGGGGGAAAAAAAAAACAACCCAGCTCATTTAAAATTATGGGTTTGAAATATCAGTGAAGATATTCTACGCTGCCACCAGAGCTTGGTTTGATTGTGCTGAAGTAACAACACTTGAAAGCTCCTATTCTTTGAAACTAATTTAAACACATTGAATTGTTGAAAGATTAAAAACCGCAGTCAGCTAATTACACACTCTCTCATCTCTTATTCAGCAAATGAATCACTTTTCATTACCACTTAGCTGAAGTACATGAATTTCTGCCTAATTAGAAATGTTGTAGATGGAACATTAGCAAGAATAGAGCAGGTCAGGATATCTTTGCTGCTTCATTTTTAATTCCTAACAGTAGAGCCTGATAGGAAAGAATAGAGAAGTCATTAAATTATTTTAAATTATTTATAAAAATTACTTTGCCCAAATTATAATTATTTTTTCCCGAAACGCTCTCAAATGTCTAACAGAATGAAAGAAAAAGCAGTTCAACACTGATTTTAATGAACATTTTAATGTTATGAATAACAGAACATTATGAATACATGGAAACAAAGTTTTATCAATTTAATAAAAAAATTTTCAACATAGAGCGAGGAGGTAATAATTTGATACTTATATTATAGCATTTATTTTAAAAAATATTCCCAGCTTAAGGGTGAAACATTAATTTTGCATTCCAAACTCTAGAATCATGATTTTCATGTGAGCATAATGCAGAATTACAGCAGGAAAAATTAAAACAAACATTTTAATTTCCTTTATTTTTCATTAAATCAATAAAATCTTTGACTGCTATGGGTCTCCTTTAATAATATATATTTATTGCCTCTCTATTGGAACCAGAGCTTACTAATACCATAGTATATATACTCAAAACCAAAATAAAACAAATACTGTATAAAATTTAAAAACCAACGCTGAGTTCTAATATTTATATTTATGTTTTTAATGGATTTTGATCCTTTCCATTTTTTTTTGAAAAGACACTCAAAAAATAAAAATAAATATTTTTCTTTTGTGACTGTGAAATGATGGCTACAGGGATAAACCAGAAGGAAGCCTTGCCAAGTTAATCACTGCAAATTGTACATAAAATGACTACTAAACATAAACGCTTTTCTTTTTAAAAGGAAACCATAGAGCAGTCCTGAAGAAAGTATTTTCCCTAGTTCTGCAAAAGTTAACTACAGCAGAAGATGTAGGCAAAGTTCCATAGCTATCACCAATTGCTTAAAGAGATTTTGTTACAATAAAAATTTGGATAGTATAATAGCAACGTTGCTGGAACATTAGCAAAAGTATATACAGTCCAGTTACCTTTGATTTAGCCATAATCACATATGTATGCTTTTTTTGGACAAAAATATATATTTTTATAAAAAACTGATCATCCAACTTTAATGACTTCATACATGGACTCAAGAGTGGTAGTAAAAGGAACAGACCCAATTATGACAAGGGGATTCAGGGACAGAAAAATCAAGTTCCTCAGGAAAAGAAAAGTACAAAATTAGAGATTCAAACACATTTATTCAGCCCTATTTCAGTCTTCCCACAAATTATGATGTTAAAATGGGCTCTTCAATTTATAAAGGCTTTTCATGGTCTCACTAGACCATTTGTGGTCTATTCTCACTGGGGAAAAAAATGATTCCGACTGCCTCATCTGAAGTACCCTTGACTGTCCATCTGAAATATTAGATACTTCACTTTTATAAAACAGCTTTTTTGGTTCTTTATGTAGGTTTATTTTAATTAATTGATAAAAGAAAGGGGAATTGATTAGCATTTTTCATCCAAACATCACCTATCTGCACAGCTAAAAATCCTTCATTCGATCTGCTTTTTTACAATTTCTTATTTACTAAAGTTGGTGAAATTTGCAAAGGCATCTTGCTTGGGTTGCACAGTTCCAGAAGTCATGGCTATGTTGGGTATGCCCATTCCCATTGTGCCTGACAGGCCCATCCCAGGAGATGACATCCCTATGTTCATGTTCATGCCCATCACGCTCTGGTTCATCATTGGAGGATTTCCAAGAGGGGTCATTCCCATGGTACCAGTCATCACATTGGGCATGCCCACAGGCATGGGTCCCCCCATCAAAGGGTTAGTTTGGGGCCGGACAGGAAGCATGTTCGATGGAGAACTGAGGTTCACGGCTCCAAAACTTTGGGTCATCACATTCATAGGCTGTTGCATATCTACCAGAAAAAGAGAGACAAAAAGAACCTTACACAGAAGGAATATTTAGATTCATATTACAGAAAAATAACATAATCTTCCCGACCATAATAGGACCTAGCTAAAATAGAACTCTTTATATTGATTTTGTAAGAGAAGTCAATTTTCACACTGATTACTTTTGAGAAATATTCAGTGGCTGTTGGCCCTGGTTTCACAAGAGATGCAGACACAAGAACAAAATCAGAATGAGAAGTATGGAGATTTACATAAAATCACAGAGTTACTTATAATACCAAAAAGCTGGAAATAATTTAAATAACCAACAGTAGACAAATTACACACACTGACCTGATGGAATACTATAAAGACCTAAAAGTTATTTTTCCTCTAAGAATATTCAACACAGAAAAAATGCTCATAATTTAATGTTGAATGCCCATAAGAAACAAAACAACAAAGTGATCCCAAATATTAAAAAAATGCTTAAAAAATGGAAAGTATTATGTATTAATGGTGATTATTCCTGGACTGTGGAATTCAGATGACTTTAGTTTGTCACCTTTGCCTGTATTTAAAAAAAAATAAAATCTATAATAGGTATTTTACTTTACTAACCAGGTCTCCAAACTTACAATAAAATCAGTGTTACCCTGCCAAGAGCAGGATAGAAAGTCATTTAATCTCCCAGAAGAGATACCAAATGGGTACTATCTGAAAAGATCTTAAGGAACACAGCTGACCCCACTGGAGTTTACATTATTTTTCCTTCATGACTTGAAACAGTCCTGGTATCAGGGCAAAAGATTACAAGTATATACAGAAATGAGATGTCATACAGTAGTAACTTACTCTGTTGTTGAATCATTGTATTCAGTGATGGCTGTTGGGGTTTGGAAGGCTGCATACCAGGTAGTAAGTTGTCTAGGCTGATGTTTACACTGGGGTCAGACCAAGTTGAGGGCAGGGTTTTGCTGACTGATTTCTGGACCATATCTGTATTCTGATTATAGAGAGGATTAGGCTTCTGCAGCACTGTGCTAACATTTTGAAAAGGCTGGAAAATAGAAAAATGCTCTAAAAATTAAGCATCTGTTCATGTTATCAGTCTATAATCAGAGGGCAATTTAATCATAATTCCAAATATACAGACTTCGTAAAGAACTCCCAAACCCAAAAAGAAGCATAAATGTTGTAAGTTAATGTCTTAAGTACACAGAGTAACTAGTTTCTCTGAAATCCAAACCATGTTGGGGTGGGATAGCATAATGCTTAAGGTACTTGACTATTAACCAGAAGGCTGGAGGTTCAAACCCACCAGCCATCCCTTGGAAGGAAGGTTGGGCAATCTACTTCCGTAGTGATACTGCCTCGGAAACCCAAGGAGGGGTCGCTATGAGTTGGGGCCGACTTGATGGCACATAACAACAACAACAACAACATAAACACTACTATTTATATTTCAATCACTCATGTCTAGAAGCCACCATCCGTGACAAACATTATCCTTTGTTAATGGCAAATATTGTTCTTTGTACCTCTTTATAACCTCACAGTTTGGATTATGACCCATAAGCAAAGATGCAGAGAATGCCCAGGAGAACCAGCAACTTCAAGTTAGTATAGCTTTAAGGAAATATTAAAACCAAAACATAAAACCACTGCCACTGAGCCAATTCAAACTGACAGTGACCCTGTAGGACTGAGTAGAACTTCCCCATAGGGTTCCCAAGACTATAAATCTTTCTGGAAGCAAACTGCTTCATCTTTCTCTTATGGAGTAGCTGGTGGATTTGAACCGCCAACCTTTTGGTTAGCAGCTGAATACGTTAGCCACTACATCACCAGAATGCCTCTTAAGGAAATATCCAAGTGGAAATTTATTTTTATAAAATGGGATTCAGGTTTCTCATGTTCTCAAAGGCAAAACCAATGAATAACAAATTGTATCTCACACATCCTGATTGACATGACCCTACTCTGTGTATATGTCTACCGCCTAATGACAGCAACACTAGTGGGGCTCAGTGCATACAGCCAATTTGGTTGGAAGAAGAAATTCAGGAGAGAGAAGCAGAGGTGCCAGGGCATAACTGAAAAGGACAGAGAAAGGAAAAATCAGAAGAAATAAAACTGGATCAATGCAAAGAATTGCAACAGAGATGCATTTAAGACTATATAAGAAAATGGACCTTTGCTTAGGTCACATGAAAGAAATGCGAAGAATAAACTGGTTTATTCATTGTGCAAAATTCAATTTAATGGTACTGGTGTGGGGAATATATTTTTTTCTTAATGTGAGGTCTACAGTCACCTTTCTGCTTCTTTCTTCTCTTCCTTCAACCTAACACCCAAAAGAGAAGAATCTACACATTAAAATTATTAATTAGCATCATACATATTCTCAACAGGTTGAATCAAAAAGTAGCAGCAAATTCCTGATACAATTCTGACATATATATTCCAATACTGCACTTATTTGAATTCTAAGCTACTATCAGGTAATTTAGATTTAACTACAAAAAAAGTGAATTAAAAACCTCCATTTTACTTGTTTTCCTTTATGAAAATGAGAGTTGAAAGAGGAGCCTTACAATGTTTATATAAAGTAGAGCAGGCTCATAATATGGAAGAACATTACCACTGAAGAGAATGATTTTCTACACTAGCAGTGACTGCAAGAACATGACCAAAGACTGTACTGACAGAATGCTTGCCATGACAAAGAGTCCTTCTACTCTTTAAGAAAAAAAAAAGTATATATATATATATGCATGCACACCCACACACACTTATTATTAAATACCAATTTTCTACAATTCAATAAATTTTCAGCCTGTGCTTCCTTTGTGCAAGGCATCATGTTTGGATTTGCAGGGACTAAGATGGGTGAGAAGGTCCTGCCCTTTAGGACCAAATGACTATACTAGGGAAAAGAGTAAGTAAACTCAATATGAAAAAATGATTATCTATAGAAAGAACTTGCTTATTTCTCTGCTTTATGCAAATCTACCATTAGATTAAATAACTCAAAGATTAAATATCGCAAAGATCATGCATCACAATTTCCAAGGGAGGTGGGCAGCTTACCTGTGATCTTGACATGGGCAAACCAAGCCCTACAGTATTAGTGCTCATCATAGAGAAATTCATACTCTGGGAAGATGTCATGGTTGCCTGGGATGAGCCCATAATATCAAATAGGTCTGAAGAATTTGAAGCAGCAGGAGGTGGGCCTAAAGCTGGTTGTGAGCCACTGAAGAGTTCTACAGCTGGCTGTGAGGCACTGCCAAAGAGCTCACCACTGGAAGCAACAGGGCCTGACTGGGCTTGGTTGAAGGCACTCCAGTCACCAAAGTCTCCATTCCCACTTGTTGTTCCTGAGGAAAAAAGAACTACAAGGGTAAGAGACTTCCTGAAATGCACAGAACAAATATAACAATCTATGAACCGAAACAAATTAGAGCTGATCTGTGTCCATCCAGATTAACATCCGCAGGTACCATCTCCATCTGGATGTTATTCTTTCTCATGAATATTCCACGAGTAACAAGGTGGCAAAGAAAAAAAATAAAACTCCCCCATATAAAGTAAACTCCTTCTCTGGGCAAATCTGGAGTTGAGACTTGGAAGCTATAATAAAAACTTCCCCTTCAATCAAATCTGCATCTAAAATATGCTTCCTGCTAAACAACTATGTTGTCTGGGACTCAGAAAAGCATAAAGGAAACTGTAAAATGGATAAACTTTTGCTGGGAGCTCTAGAATTCTCACACAAGAAGACAGTAAAATCAGAGAACACTCTCAACTCATGTAGCTCACTCGTTATTTGGAAAGGGTCAAAGAGAAATCAAACTATGATTTATACAGTTTTAAGTAATACAAACCAAAATTCACAAAATTTATAAAACGCAAAAGAACCCAGAAAAGCATAGGGAAAAAAGGTAATGAAATAAGAGTAGCAATAATGTCTATGAGAACTTTTCACTCATTTGAGCATGCTTCCCCTGACAACAGAAGCACTATAGCCAAGACATAACCTTACTACACTGCTTGCTTCAACTGGGACTGCTCAACCCGTTTATTTAAATAAAAAGAGAGGTATTGTTTAAAGAGAAGAACTCATGATTTTATGTATCTAGATACATATATAAAACAAAAACAGAAACAAAACCCCATCACTACACTTGTAAGTGTAACTATAACATGTTTAACATTGAATGCACTAAATAATATAAAAATTGATTAACACTTTTATTAACATAATAGTTAAGGGCATGGATTTTGTACCTATTAGGTGCATGACCCTGGGCAAGTTACTTAACCACACTGTGTCTCATTTGAAGGGGGAAAAAAAATCAGAGTTGTGAGGATTAAATAATTTAATACATAGTAGCTGTAATGTAAAGTTGCTACTTTTAGGAGCTCTGATGGCACAGCAGTTAAGGCATTCAGCTGCTGCCCAAAAGGTCAGCAATTTGAACTGACCAGCTGCTTTGTAGGAGAAAGATGAGGCAGTCTGCTTCCGTAGAGATTTATATCCCTGGAAACCCTATGGGGCAGTTGCACTCTGTCCTACAGGGTTACCATGTGTCAGAATAGACTCAATGGCAGTGGTTTTTCTGCCCACTGTGACATTAGGACCTCTGGTGATGCAGTGGTTAAAATGCTCAGTTGGCTGCTCCCTGGGAGAAAGTCTGCTTCTGTAAAGACTACAGTCTTGGAAACCCTAAGGGGTACAGTTCTGTTCTGTCCTATAGGGTCCCTATGAGTTGGAATCAATTTGATGGTAGTAGGTTTTGGGTTTGGTTATTGTTACTTTGAATTAATTGTACAAGTTCCAGTGAGAGCTAAGGTACCACATTCTCTTTCTTTCAGGTTTGCCATATAAAATTGTATGTCAAGATACTGTAAATGCTACATAAATACTAACTATTTATAACACAATGAATACAAAGGCAAGAGATTCATTTCAAAATTTTTAACTGTGTCATACATGAATCTAAGTAAATAAACCTTTTTTTTTTTTTTTTACCTGACAGGAGATTTTATTAAAGAGGCAAAAGGGCGCCTGCACTGAGGAAGGACAGAAGAGGAAGAAGAGGAGAAGAGGAAGAAGAGAAGAAAGAGGAAGAAGAGAAGAAGAGAGAGAGGAAGAAGAGAAGAAGAGAGAGAGGAAGAAGAGGAAGAATAAACCTTTTTTTAAGAAAGGGACAAATGAATGTGAATTCATGGAAGTGAAAAAAGCAAAGTTGAAAGAGCTGTATATGAATGTCATTTTAAAGCAAATACAAGATATTTCCAAGTTAATTAACACCATCTCTTTGCACTCCATGTTCACTTACAACTTGGAAATACATTTTGTCTAGCCTAAAAGGTAACCAACCACTGCAATACTGTGTTTCATTATGCTAAATATCAAAAGAGAACAATAATAAATCTTTAAAATTATATTGTTCTATTACCATATTAAAAGTAAGCACCCTCAAAAGAAAAAATAACTCATTTAGAAATCCGAAGCTCTACGAACAGTTTAATACAAGAGCTGGGCTAATATTCATCACCTCAGGGTTTTAGTAACATGTCTGATCTTTTTTTATAAAAGAGACTGCATGAGGTTTACAATTAGTTCTCTGTATTAAACAATTTAAACTCAATTTAAGTGAGGTTGCTGAATAAAGGTAAACTTTATGTTGATTTTCTCTCTGCTTGAGCTATAAAACAGAATATGAATGAAAACCAGGGCAAAATGCGTTGCCCCATCTGAAAACTTTATCTGAGATGATTAATCATGGGAGGATGAGATTTCTAGTGGGGCATATATTGTTCAGAAATGATTAATCATTGTTGCAACAGTTTCAACCCCTTGCATAACGCTGATCAAGTTACATTAATCACATGCATACAGATAAAGTGATGTATCACTTAGGCAACATTAACATATCTGAAATATTTGAATAGTAGGAAACTTTGTATACATAAAAACAGAATTACACAGGGAGACCATAAAATTAGGGCAATGTTTATTTTCCTCTTTGATTTGCCTAAGGCAACATATTAACCCTTCTGAAGGTGTAATCACACTTCCACAATGAAACAGTTAATTATTCAACATTTCTGGTTTCTGAGAAATACTTGGAATTTACATAAGTAAGCTTTCAAAATAACCACTTAAACTATGCATCTTTCTAACTCCTCAGTTTAATATTAACAATAGATAATCCCTCTTTAAATAGACAATAAGACTAATTGAGTTAAACTGTATCTTTCTTCCTTGCTTTATGTTTGGAAATTTTATTAATTTTTTATATTATCTTTCAAAGTTCAGACTGACCAGATTTTACAAAAATACTCCACAGCTCCCTTGCAACCTTAAAAAAAAAAAAGGCATATATACTTCTACAGACATGATCTATCCTTATAAAGAACCATGACCAGTAGCATTATTTCCAATTAGAAAGTTAGAGGTTCACCTTCTCAAAGTCAAATAGCTACTATAATATAAGACAGAGATAAAATAAAAATAATAGAAAGGAAAAAATGCCTACATCTTAATCACTAATGTTCCGCTTGTTGTTGTTGTTAGGTGTTGTTGACTCAGTGTTGACCTTATGTACATACAAGAAAAAAAAACTGTCTGGTCCTGTGCCATCCTCACAACCGTTGCTATGTTTGATCACACTGTTGTAGCCATTATGTCAATCTATCTCACTGAGGGTCATCTACATTTTTTAAGATCCTCTACTTTAACAAGCATGATGTCTTTCTCCAGGGACTAGTCCCTCCTGATACCATGTCCACAGCACATGAAACTAAGTCTTGCCATCCCTGTGTCTAAGGAGCATTCTGGCTGTACTTCTTCCAATATGTTCTGCTTAGAAGTTGTCTGTTGTTGTTATGTGCCATCAAGTCGGCCCCGACTCATAGTAACCCCTCCTTGGGTTTCCGAGGTGGTATCACTACAGAAGTAGATTGCCCCATCTTCCTTCTGAGGAGTGGCTGGTGGGTTTGAACTGCCAGCCTTCTGGTTAGCAGTCAAAACGCCTTAGGCACTACGCTACTAGAGCTCCTGTTGTTTGTTGTAGATGTTAGTATTTCATTATTTCACATCTAACAAAGTGAAAAATCTTTGCCTGAGGTTCAACTACTATTTTAGAATGTCAAAAGAAGTTTATTTTTCATAGCAATGCTCTTAAGACATCTAAATTACAAAGGAATATATTTCAGTAAAATATTTGATACAATATCAATGTTAAGAAATTATGTAACTTATTATATTCTCACTACTAAAATGAAATTATTTATATTTATTCATACCTGTTGCCCCTCACCCCCTAAAAAAGAAAGCTAAAGAGTCACTTATGAATAAGTGTAATTTTCTTCAGGTGTACCTGAGTAGTTTATAATCAGATTAATTCATTTGGCAAACTTATCAGTCTAACAAAATACTTTGTTAATATATTCTTTAGGAACTGTAAATACTTTAGGGAGAAAAAAAAAAGAAAGAAAAAGAGGACTGTTTTGTTTCCATAGCACTGATAGCCTTTCCACCTGCTCCCAGATTTCTGGCCAATCAAATTGTATCAATAGTATCATACCTTGGGAAGTCAAGTTGCCTGAAGCAGAAGCTGAGCCAAAGTCAGCAAATCCTCCGAATAAATCAGTTGATCCTCCTAGAAATTAGGTATAAGGAAAATGTTAAGCTTTGAGAACCCAGAACAACTGACAGCAACTTCTGGAAGCCATTTTAGGCCCTTGTTTAAAAAAGACCCAATATTAGAATCCCAGACCTATCATAAATACAACAAATAGGTTTGATGACCTAGGTTTTCATGTTGCCACACTCCTTTAAGCTACCTCTGACCCTCACCTTCCTGAGTCTATTTCCAGTAAGATAAATGACCTTGCATCTCTGGTTAAAGTTATTCCTAACTTGTACTTCATGAATATAACATGGACATGCAGTTTATACTGCCAAGTATGTTCTGTTATTAAAGTGCATTATGCTCTGTTATTAAAGTTGAAGTTCACATTGAATAAACTTCAAAATTCATGATTTCATACTGATATAAAAAAAGTTTTTAAAAAAATTAAATGGGAGTAGGGAAGAAAAGAGAAGAATGCCAACTAGCATATTTAGAAGGAACAACAGAATTAGAAAACTCACCATTTTATAAGAATCTTTGGTGGATATGAAAACCTAGGTAAAACACTGTTGGGGAATATAATATTCACATAACCTCAAAATATCACCCTACAGATTTTTAACCAGTTACAAAGGGATAAAGCTATTTTTACAATGGAGACATCTGATGGTACCACCTTAAAGAAGTGATCAAATTTAATACCAGTAAAAATCAGAGAGAACAGTATCCTAGGCCTTCTAATGTGAAAGGACTGAAAAGGACAATATCACCCATGTAGAAATTCCTGCCCCCCAAAATTACCCTGAATCTAACATGAGGCAGTAATCAGACAAATACAAATTGAGAGACATTCTGCAAAACAACTCTCAGGACTCTTCAGAAAATACCAACATCATAAAAGAAAAAAAAAAAGAGTCGGGACTGCCCTAGATTAAAGGAGCCTAAGGAGACATGACAAGTCAATGAAACAAGTGAACCTTGACTGGACCTTAGATTTTTAAAAAATGCTGTGCTGAAATGAAAGGAGCTCTAGTGGCACTGTGGTTAAGCACAAAGCCGTGCATTCCTAAAGAATGTATTAACAAAGTATTTTATTGGACTGATGAAGCACAAAGCTCCTAACCACAATTTCTACAAATATCTACAATTTGAACAATAACATTATTTCAAGTTTTAATACTCAGTTTCTCATTCAGTTAACATCTAAATGGCAGAAGGACCTAAAAACTTAAACAGTTGTCTTTATTTTTGTTTGTCCTTAAAGATTTCACCTCTTAAGAGTCAACAACCTTAGAAGTCTAGAGCACAGTTCAATTATGGTGCTTTTAGTGTTATGTGAACATTATATAGGTTACATCACAGCTGCTTAGCCTGCAGTGCTTAGGAACTAGCCAGGTGGGACTGAAACATCTGGGCTGCACTCAAACACCACCAGGGACAACTTTCAACATCTGGTGCCATTTCTGAATTGTCTTATCGCTGCAAGACATTCTGCCCCATCTGCTACACTCAACTGGGTTAATTAAACTAGAAACCATCTCCCCTTCTTAATAAATGGCCAGCAGTAATAAAAGGAAACAATCAGTTTCTGATAAACATGTACTTGCTATTTCTTTTTAATGTACATTTACTGTATTCAACTATCAGCAGATATAACAAATTCTTCATTTCTTCACCTCATTATAGATGCAGATATTCACATACATCACCTACTAGTGGAACTAAGTTCCATCAAGGAAAAGGTCCTCGCCTACTACCAACAACACTACATAGCCCACACACCTATTTTTTTTTTTTACTTCATTCAAAGGATAGTTGGTTTAGTTATCTTTTCCTTAAAGGTACATACAAATTAGTTATGTTTTTGAACTATATAAGTGAGCACATATATTAATAAAACTAACAGGGAAATGAATGTTGCAAACTGTTCTGGTTAATATTCCTGTTGTTTTTCTATATTGTTCTTTCATGTTAAGAATACTGATTAAAGTACACTGTTGGCTAACAGAATGATAGTAATTTATTATAACATTAAGGTGTTTGAAAATTGAGGAATATTTTAATAGGCATCATCCATGCTGTGAATAAACATCAGTATGTCATTTATTATGCCAAACAAGTTAAGGATTTTCAATTCTTATCAGTCTAGGCCACAAAAGAGAACTCATGTTGAGGGTAAGATCACTGACTATTATAGATTATAATATAAAACTGGGTGGTGGTGGTTGTTGTTATGTGCCATCGAGTCAGACCCGACTCACAGCGACCCCTTCTTGGGTTTCCGAGGCAGTATCACTACAGAAGTAGATTGCCCCATCTTCCTTCCAAGGAGTGGCTGGTGGGTTTGAACCACCAGCCTTCTGGTTAGCAGTCAAATGTCTTAGGCACTATGCTACCACAGCTCCTTATAAAACTGTGAGAAATACTTAATTTTTGCCATATCCTGAATTTAGTATTCCAGATACTTACCTACTAAGGTTCTTCTGCTCCACCTTCTACCACTAAACTCAAATTATACTATGTTCATATAACTTTTTATCACAAATAATGTATTTAACTTAGTAAAAGTTTCTTTCTTCTAGGAGGGACTACCAATATCCATAAGTATGATGTTACTTCTACCAATGCTTATAATAATAGAAATTTTCTAAAACATTTCTCCAGAAAACTCCTATCTAATGTTATTTAAATAAAAGAGTCTACCAAAAATTGCTGCATGTGAAAGACTGCTAAATTTCACAAGAGCTATCCTTCAAGATTCCCACATGAGAGCTGTCATTATAAATGAACCATTTCCATCTGCCTTTTCAGGGCAGCAAGCAGGTTATTTACAATTACCAGCTGGGAACATGTATTTTCCAAAGCAACACGGTAACAGGAAAAATATAACTATACCAAGAAATGCTTAAACTACAAAATGGAATTTTTCTTCAACAAAGAATTTCATCTCGGTCACATTAAGAGAAAAAAAGTTTTGCATAAAAAATTCTAATATCTACAAAACTAAAAGAAATGAAAAAATTTGAAAAAAATATTTACAAATTTCTAATACACAAAGATTTTTAAAAAACTTAGTAGAAAAGTTGAATACCTCCAATAGAAAAAAAAAAAAAATGGAGAAAGGACATCAATAGACAAATCAAAAGAAATCTAAATGGCTTATAAAAATATAAAAAGTTCAAACTAAGTTAGTAATCAAATAAAAAATAACAGTTTTCTCCTTATCAAACTGGAAGATTTTGAAGTTATTTTGCTACTCTATAACTGAGAAAAATGGGGGTGGGGGAGAGGCGCACACACAAAACTAATCCTTAATGTCCAAATAAGGGCTTGATTAAGATTATAAAACAATACACTTTTTTGTAAAAGAACACTATCATCAGGAGGTTATAAGATCTCAGGTGAAAAGCAGTTAACACCCCCCCTCAAAAATAACAATCTGTATGTAAAACCTTGAAAAAGATTTGCCATACAATAAATGCTTAAACAAATGTATTAACTGAATGTATAGAAATATTTGTTCAGAAAAAAAGTATTACCAAAATTATTAATAGTTAACTTTACGTGGTGAAATGATGGTGAATCATTTATTTTCTACCAAATTTCTAAATGAGCATGCATTGCTTTTAATAACCTGTGGAAAAAAATCTAAAAAAATTTACTTTAGTAAACTTGTCTTTAAACTAGAGACAACCTGTTCTTTTTTCTCATATGCGTTGCTATACTGAGGGGCTAACGAGATGGCTTATATTCATGTTAAGTACACTCAACTACCTTGAGCTGTTACTGAGTACATAGGCAACAGGTTCAAATATAAGAACATTTTGGTTTTTATAGATTTTAAATCATCATAAAATTCTTTTTATTCTAAAAGAAAAACAGTATTCAAAACAGATTTTAAGTATTTCTGCTTGTACTGACTATACTGTCTTTTCTCTTAAACATATTCTATGGCATTATAAATATTCTGTGCAATGTAATCTTAATCAATACCCCAGATCCTTAGCATATGGATAAAAAAGGTAACTCGGACTTATTTTTAAAGAGATGATATATATTAAAAAAAGAAACTAAGTTTGGGCATCTATTTCTAATGTGCTTATTTCCTAATACTGTAAGTTATTATTCATGTCTTATGCTTACTTACCAATAAATACACTATAAAGTCACCAGAACATTGCTTGAACATAAATTTAAAAAGAATATCACCAAAGTAAGACATTCTGTAAGACAGTCTCAAGTGAATCTTGATAGTCAGGTTTCATGTGTGTATTTTTAAACTTGGTAAAATTATTCTACGACAATTTTAAAACAAATACTTTTGAAGATGAATAAGAACAATGTAGTAACACATACAACAGACAAATCTGAGCATTTTCTCAGAGGAGACATTTATCTGGCGAGTAGTACAGATGCCATATCTGCTTAGCTTTACAGTTCATGCCCATATTACTTGCATGATGGTACTATTATAAATATGGGCACATCTGGTAAATGGTACCCAAATGACATACCAAATAGCAATGTTAATATGGTAGCTCCTTACACTTTCTCATGTGTAGGTGCTAAAGATTTAATATCCAATTTTCTTTAACTGCCGAATTCAATTTAAAATATATTATTAAAAAATTTAAACAGAGATTCAGTGTAACTAAATTTATGTATTGATAGGGGGTCTGTGCAAAGTGGATTTAACATACTGTTTCAAATAGGAAATAACTCTAAAACACAATTCTGATATCAAACCATATTGCTTTTTTTTTTTTAAATTAAGATTAATAACCTTTAAGGTAGGAAATCTCCCAGATTTCACTCAGACTTTGTTTTCCTCAATCACTCTATTAATATTAATTGCTACTTCTACTTAATTAGTCAATCTACTGTTTGCATTGGAGAAGGAAAAACCACTCAAAGGTTTCTTGCCAAGCAAAGAAAGCATGTTGGTATTTAATAATTCTCTCTGTTCAAAGCAATCTTAACACTAAAAAAAGTTATAACCACTCATCTGACCTTCCTAGTTAATTCTT